ATTAAAAAGTATCAAGATTGAAGAAAAAAAAAGCCTGTGAAATTCTTGTAAGACTGCTGTACCTCTGCAGGAATCTAGGATATGTCTGCCTGTAGGCGAAGCCGGCTCGACGCACTCTGACGTTCTCCAACAGCCCGAGGTACTCCACCTGATGGCGGCAGCGCTCAGGCTCAAACAAAAGAGGAGATTTAACGTCGTTGGGTTTGATGCAGCGGACATAGTAGGGTTCCTGTGGATGACAGGTCAGCTGAGGGTTAATAACAAGTGCAAATACTAGCTAGAATGCACTAGAAAGCTAATCAGGAGATTTAATTTAATTTCTTTCCTTTTATTGTGAAGTAAATGTGTTTTAATTTTCATTTTCTTAGCATAGAGAGACCGACTCGGACCAAATTGAATAGGTCTGAATACATCCCGTTAAATTCAGTCCAAGCACAACTGAAATTCTATTTATTTTAAGAAATCGAGATTTAGATCAAGTTTGCTACAGTTAAATTCGATCCAGATTATTTTACAAATATTTTCCTTCAAGAAATAACATACCTATATTCTTATCTATTATAAAATTTTTCATTACCTAAAAAAATTAACTGCTGTAAAAAAAAAAAAAAAAGAGTATTTTAACTTGGAAGCTTCTCTAAAATACGCAGCTACTCTATTTTTGTTGCTCGTCACACCAACTCTAGGTCAATCTGGAGCAGAGGGGATTGTTCAAGTCCGCTTTACAAAACAGGATTCCTGATTTGTTATTGTATAATTGACTATCAAATCAAAACTACATCTTTCATCAAGATGAGAGGCCACCTTAGAGTGATGCTTAAGTTTAATTACTGTAAGGATGTGTGTTTCTCTGTGCAAGTCTGAGTGGATGAGGGTATAGCTTGGATCTGTGGGTGTGTGCATGATTTTGACACCTGGGAGAGCAAGTTGTTGAAATGGTGAGAAGGGCGGTAAGATAAGCTTGCCATCTGGTGCTTTTGCATCCCAAACCAACATGTGGCAGGTGGCCTGAGCTCCTGGAGGCTGCAGGACCCCAGCGGAGAGAATGACCCCTGAGCCAAAGAGGTTCAGAGAAAGATGCAAGGCGAGTCCCACAACACAGGCCAAGCCTGAAACCTATTCTCTCTGGCAGCCAAATGCCAGTTCAACCCACTACCTTACAGTTTGTTTAATTTTTTTTATTATTGTTTGCAGGACTAGAAGTTTTATGCAACCTAAAAATTTATGAATAAAAACTAAAGAAAAAGGATTGAAATGTGATATTGGGAAGAAGCAAAATTAGAATCAACAATGCATCTTTCATAGAGTTTCCATTTATGGGAACTAAATCTGGCTCCCCACCTTGCTGGCAAGGTTCTCCACTAGAGAGATCATGGAGTTTTTGAAGATTGTCCCTGCCGTCTGTGGCCTTTTGGTCACCTCTGTAATTCTCAGCTTCCCCTCAGGCCACATCCCCTTCAGCACCGGGTTGGAGCTATAAAAGCAGAGAGGAGATAATTTAAGGTATTATAATTAAATCAAGCATGATGTTTAACAAGGCTCACTTACGTACTGTGTTTTCCATACTATAGAGGGCACCTCACTATAAGGCACACCCACAAATTAAAAAAACAAAACTGAAATTGTACATATGTAAGCCACGCCTTGCTAATGCTGCTGACATCGACTGAACTGTTCTCCACCAAAGCTGCAGGGGGAGCTCTAGATTAGGGACGAAGAATAATGCTAGCTTCCCGTTAGCTTGTTGTTTCATGGTAGTAAGAGCTTCTAATGAAAGATTGGGCTTTGTTAGCTCTTCGTTTTAGCTCTGCAAGAGTTATGCACAGTCTCTTTTTTTGTTTCGTTTATTTTAATGTGGCAAATAAATATCAAAATGTGTAAATTCGGGACATTTGGTCCACGTCTTGCGTTTCTTCTTTGATTTCCAACTTTTTTCAATTTTTTATCATTAAGAAAAATGCAGAGAAATGTAGCACCTTTGCATAAGAAGTATGGTTCAAACAGTGGGAAAAAAGTAGGGGCTTATACTCCAGAAAATACGGTAGTTAAGGTTGGCACAAAAAAAAAATTTGTTGGTATTTCAAAGAGTAAAAAAAAAATTTTTTGTAAGATTTTTTTCTCAAATTTAGCAACTATGTAAGGATAATTAAACAGTTAACATTTTTTATCTATATAGATCTATATCTATCTATATATATACATATGTTTTATTAAGAGGCGGGACTTTAACAAATCTGTAAATCTGATGCACCAGCAGCATCACAGGCGTTGGTCTTTTAGGGTATTAAAGCTTAAAAATCATCACACATTGCACCAAGCACAGATGTTCTGTTTTCAGTTTTAGAAATTAAACTTTAACTTCTATTTACAGCAAAAGTTAGGCGTTTCAGGGGTTTCTAAAAAAAAAAAAAAAAAGGCTAAATGATTGAACTTTTAAGAATCTGATAGCTGAATAAACTAAACAATGGGTTACAAATAAGTATTTTTGTTACAGTACTTATGTGTATTTACACAAACATTTAGTAGCAAAAATGTTATTTTAAATTGAAAAGGTTGTTTATTTTGTCGAAATATAAATATAGGTTTCGAATAAAATGAGATTAATTCATTGCAGACCATGTAGTTTTAATCAAGTCTGTCTACTAGTTAATCTTGTGAAAAATGGGAAAGAACAGACCAAGTTAAAGGAAATTGACTGTAGACCTGGATGCATCTTTGAATTGAAAGTGTACAGAATTGTATTTATAGAACATGTGGAGGTGTTGAAAAGTGTGTCACCTGTTGTACAAAAGCCTCTTGAAATCTTGGAACAGAGTGTCTTTGTTCTTATCAATAAAGCCCACCACTGAGTACCTGTAAAAAGGAAAGCCTGGTAAATACAAATCGCTGACTTTCATGTTCATACATATTGTCCTACTTGCTGCTCTTTTAACTTCATCATTAATTTCAGAAATTGTCCTTGTCGATACAAAGTGGGAACATTGCACTGAAAGCCTGGTGCTAATGTACACCTTAAGATGATACACAGAGTAACTGAAGGAGCTTCCATAAATAAAGCCGCTAAAATCCACACAGTGAGAAGTGAGAAGCTCTTAGCCTCTTGCCTTATATAACTGTGGCACTGAGGTCAATCAAGGCTGCCAGTCTGGGCTTGCTCCCCTGGGTACCAGACACTTAACCGTCACAAATAGGCTCAACACATTTCCATTAGAGCCCTTATCATGGCCTTGGGGTGTGTTCGGGGACCGCGATGACTTAAAATGAGGTCACATCAAGCAATTCAAATTGTGATCTACAAATAACACCATTAAAAATAAAAGAGTTTACTTTTTACACTAGTGCACACCATACACTGTAACCTGTATAATTAATGTCAGCAATCGGACTGATAGAAATCACTTAAATATCGGATCCCATTTGTCATGAATCTAAATAGTATGAGTTTTACTACCGTATTTTCACGACCATAAGGCGCACTGTACTAAAAGGCGCAGTCTCAATTATGTGTCCCATTTCTGTATTTAACACACACATAAGGCGCACCGGACTATAGGGCGCATTTTTTATATACAGGTACATGTCCTCTACTACCTTTAAATAGCTCTACTGCGTATTTTAAAAATACAGCGGGGGCAAAACTGAGTATGATTGTGCTTTATTCATTTATTTATTACAAAGTATTAATCAAACCTGCGAGCTGGCCATGAGACAGACACATCGCAGATGACACAGCGCTGTGATTACTCCTAAATTAACTTAAAATCCTGAAACCTGCCGACGGAATATGTTCGCTTTTATTGCCGGTATCCTGGTGCCTGCAGTTTAAATTATTTAGATGAAAAACACCTGCCAGCCACCGCGGTGAGGCTGCTGTTGAAGGGATTTCTGCTGTCGGTGCACCGCTGGTATGTGGGGGTCTGAGCGCCTCCGACAGAAATAGATAATCTGGATGAACTGACTGCAATTAAGTTTTCAGGTGGCCTTTCTCACTTAAAAACATATTAAAACTACTTTATTCCCACTGATCACAGCAAATATAGCTGCAAGATTTAGATTATTTAGATGAAAAAACACCTGCCAGCCACCGCGGTGAAGAGGAGGAGACCCGCCCAGAGGCTGCTGTTGAATTAAGTTTTCAGGTAGAAAAATAGAGCGCGAGCAAAACTGAGTATGATTGTGCTTTATTCATGTATTTATTACAAAGTATTAATCAAACCCATCAAAGTCATCATCCTCTGTTTCTGAATTAAACAGCTGCGCTAAATCAGACATGACAGTTTCCCATTCTTCGCTGTCAGAGTCACTTTCCGTGCAGCGCGGTTCCTCAGAAATAATGCCGGCTTTTGCGAAAGCTTGAACAACAGAGCCAGCAGACACGTTAGTCCAAGCATCTACAATCCATCCGCTAAAGGTGGCGTAACTTGCCCGGCGCTGCCTTCCACATATCCTGAAACTGTGGTCTCCGTCTGTCATCCATCGCTCCCACGCCGCTCGCAGCCTTACTTTGAACGGCCGCTTCACACCGATGTCGAGCGGTTGAAGTTCCTTTGTCAGACCCCCCGGGATAACGGCGAGCACAGCGTTCATTTGATTCACCTTTTTTTTTCACATCGGCTGTGAGATGGGCACGCAGCGATGGTGATGCGTGGAAAAAAGCACCTGGTCTCCTCACATACACCTGCCTTTCATCATCTCCTCACCCATCCAGCCCGTTTCATTTGCGTTAATATCATATGTCATCAGAGCGCTGTGTCTGTCTCGCTGTCAGCTCCCAGATCAGCTTCTCTGATTGGTTGATGCGGCGCGTCCAGCAGCAAAACTTCAATTTTTCCATCTCGAGCAGCAGCAGCGCGTTGGCGGTGCGTCAGATGCTTAAACGCTCCCGACGTGCTGCACCTGCAGCTCAAAACGCGCTGCGGGACCTTTTGCTGCGCCTATACGCGCGTCAACCATTGACTTTGCATGTAAACTCGCTGCTTCTGCTGCACCTGCTGGGTCCGGTTCACACCGATGTCGAGCGGTTGAACAGCGAGCACAGGGTTAATTTGTTTCCCCATGTTTTTCACATCAGCTGTGAGATGGGCACGCATGGAGTTACATATTAACAGCGATGGTGATGAGTGGAAAAAAAACACCTGGTCTCCTTACATTCAGCCACTCTTTCATCATCTCCTCAATGAGGTGGTCTCAAAAGTCGCAGTTACAACACACATAAGGCGCACCGCACCATAGGGCGCACCGCACATTTTGAGGGAAAAAAAAGACGTTTAAGTGCGCCTTATAGTCGTGAAAATACGGTAACTGAAATTATTCACTGAAATGAATTATATACATATATATGTTTTATCTATAGTGGTGAACCAGTATGTCATAAAAGCAAAAAAACAAAACAAAAACATCTGTACTCAAATGGTAAGGAAGAAAAGAAGCTGCAAAGAAAATATCTCTCTACAGACCAAACCAAATGGTTTTTAAAAGTCTCTTTTATAAACATCTATTTAGAGACATCTGAGAGGACCCGGCCATCAATAACCTGAACCTTTTTCTGGAATAACTTAATGTACTCGGCTGTAGTTTCAGTTATCAGTAGCCCTAAGGCATGAATACATAGAAGAGTGGAAAAGAGGATGAATCATCAGTAAAAGCTTTCACTAAACAAATGCAAACTTTAAGATACTTACACCACATCCCCTGCATAGTGCCTGATGCGAAAGTCTCTGTCGAACTCCAGACTCTTATCAGTTGGGGAGAGCTTTAAAGAGAAACATTTAAGCAGTGAATATATAAGTAAATAATAAAAAAGTTGTTACTTTTCATGCCTTCGTTGTTAAGGAAGATCAACACTAATTAAGAAAGGCTCAGATTATGTTATAGGAATTCTAAAGTAAGTTGAGGATCATCAATAGAGGTCTGGTGCTGTACTGTCTGGCAGGACAAAGTAATTCTGCACAGGAACTCTAACCTGTTTAACTCTTTAAGGCTCTCTACATAATCTGTAACCTACACACCGAAAAACAGTTCATAATTACATTTTTTTCCGTGTTGTATTTTCGTACCCCTCCCTTGGTGACCTCTCTATTTCGATTGCTTTTCACTGTGTTCATTGCAATTTTGTTTATTTTCCTTTCTTTTTCTCTCTCTCTATATATACATGTTAATTAACACCTTTTGTTATGGTTATATTGCCTCTTTTTTGTGTTGGTGTTGTATTCTGGAAAATCTTATCAAAAATAAAGTTAAAAAAAAAAAGGCTCAGATTATTTACCAACATCATTTTAAAAGATACAAATCTAACATAAGACTTAAAATATCATTGTTTGAGATCAACACCAATACATGTATGCATCACTGAATGTTTGTGAATTAACTGTACATTACTTTGTCATTTTATAAGTTGCACATTTTCCTGAATTTGAATTGAATTAAAAAGTGAATAATTTGATATGTTATTTAAAGTAATAGTTATTTAAAGTGGTGGATTTTAGCTTTTACACGTTGTACATGTAAAAGAAAGGCGATTTATTGAAACAATGCGGATTTATTTGGATGTAGATTAACATTTTTTATATTCATAATGTGGAATTCTATTTGTGTTCATCTGATATTGTACTTGGAGTTAAAAGACATTTGTCTTTATTTTAAAAATATATATAAAAGACTGATCTTGCTTGAGGTGATAACAAATATAACTTTGCATGTATTTGACTAAAATAAAGTAGTTGTAATATTGATTACCTTAATATAACAAAAGGACAAAGCAAGCTTGAAACTCAAGTTCTTTATATAAAGATTGACAAAATGTTTTTCTAAATTTTAGATGTTTGATCAGACTTTAAAAGAACAAAACCTCTTAAAATGTGTTATTTCTATAACCTGAGGTCTGATTCAGCATTTAGCACTGATACAAAAAAAAAATTAGCCAGAAAGCAGGGAGGATTTTTATTTCCTGTGACATAAAGGCGGTTCTGCCTCAACGAAGAAGAATAAGTCATCTTTTGGATGCTCTATTACCCCCTGCTTAATACAAACTGCCTACAAATCTGGTGTAACTTCTTATCTGTAAAATCTCTTTATTTTACCTCCTTATAGAGACAGTCTCAGCAGGAGTTAAGTCAACTCTAAATGAATTGTGAAAAATGTGTGCTGGTTTTACTTTGAAACCAACTGTCCGGAGCAATTTGTGGTTCTTTCATCATAACTCTTCACAACCCAAGCTATGAAAGCTAAACTAAAGAGTTCAGGATGATTTTCACAGCTTGGAGCATTACTGACACAGCAAACCCACTGGTGCAAAAAAACACCAAGACTGTCAGGTCTGATCAAATCTTACCGTAAAAAGAGCAGGAGGAAAGAAAGGAACAAGCACGAAAGTTAGGAAGTGAAATCAAACCAGAGGAGAAACTGAGACAGTGAGATGAGGACTGAAGATGGAGGAGGAGGGAAATAAATGTAATTCGACAGGTAGAGACTTCAGCTGTAATTAAAGAGTTTGATATAGGGGATTGTCTGTAATGGACATACAAAGTATGGTACACTGACGATCTGTGCGTCCAACATCTATGTCCATGCTGACCTATATAAGTAAAACAAACCTGTGATAATAGCAAGTTGCATGGCTTATTTTTAATTATTGGTATTAGTTTACTTTTTTTGGATTTTGCCCAGTTAAAATGAAAAAAAAAAAAAAAAAAAACTTAAAAAAAAATTTAAATCTTAATAAGTCATTTTTTCTTAAAATAAATTTTTTTTTTTTTTAACTGAGGAGGTAAGTAAGACACTTTGCCAGTGGAACAAGGCAATTTACATTTAAAATGAGAAAAAACTATTGCATTGTCTTATTTCAAGTGAGTTTTAACTAATTATCTTATTTTAGGAATAAAAATACTCATTCCATTGGCAAGTTCTCTGACTTACCTACTCAAATTAAGAGTAAATACACTTAATTTAAGAAATCTTTACCTATTTCTAGATTGTTTTTGCAGTGTATGCAATACCTCTTTCAAACTGGCCCAAAAAACAGTTTAAACCCGGGAACAATCAGCATTTAGTGGCAATGGGAGAAGCTCACTGATGCATGTCTAACCCGGTCAAACGACTCGGCAATGGACCGAGTCGACTCAGCTGAGAGACAGAGAACACCAGAGCCGGGTTGACCTGCTAATTTAGGTGATACTATTGAGCGCTACGTATAGAGGTCAACACACAGCACCAGTGGCTTTTAGTCTAACAAGCCAAAACAACTCTGTTTACATTCGATAAACATGCCGCAGCTCTGGTAAGAGGGAGTCGGACAGATAATAGAGCAAAATGATAAAGGACACTGACTACGCCCTGGCTTCCTTACAAAATGCTCTCCATTGTTTACCTTCCTGATTTCTGTCGCACTGGTGACATCATCAACGCTACCCCAGTGTGATGGTGTCACTAGACACGCAGCAGCAGAGGGACAGAGGCCATTCAGCTTGCCAGAGAAGGGTTAGACCGGCTTTTTTTGCCTATGGGAAGAGAGCCGATTGGTAGCGGGTCGACCCATGTTTGAAAAACACGCTTTAACCCGATATTTTTCAGTGTGAAAGAGGTTTCAGTAGAACAGCAAAATGCAAACAGCACTTCACTGTCCTGCTTTGGACAGGGTAGAAATGAGACGTTTTTTGTTGTTGTTTTTTTTACCTCAAAACATTCACATTTTGCACAGTGAAATGAGTGCTGCAGCTTGAGAAAGCTGACTTTTTGGGAGAAGGGACTGATTTATGGACACCTTTCAAATCAGCAGACTTCTCAATTATTGTGTGAAGCTCAAAATATAGTATTTAGATACTAAAACAACAGTATTTTTTGTTTTAAGTTAAAAATCAAATGCTGTAAAAAAAACATAATTTTGTTTTTTCTTATAGCTGAACATCATAATTACCAAATTGAACAGTTGAAATATGGGAGCTTATATAATGAAAGGGCTGATATGGACTAAATAGAAAGCTTATAAATTACTTATTTTAATATTCCCTCTAAAGCAGTGGGTTTGGTTTGTATGCTTTAATATATTAGATACTTTTATATCCATGTTCAAATTTAGAGTGTTCTTCTGTCAAATTAGCCGTTACAAAATGTTCTGTTAGTTTATGAAAGTGATGGATGACTCATCGATGTGCTTAGAGCTCTGAATCAAAAAGAAAACACACAAGCCGCCATGTGTCAGTGGAAATTCTACAAATTAGAGCCTTATTATTCATTTATTTTTTAACAGAAGGAGTCCACAGCCCAAAATTAAACCAGAAATGGACTGAAAGTAAATGTTAGACGGTTCAAGAAAAAGCTCCCGATGGAAATCAAAAGATTATTTACCTCCCTGCCGCTAAAGAAATCGGCTGAGACGCTAAGCTGCTTCTAACTCCTGTCAACGGGAGTTTGATGAACAATCCAAAGAAATGTGTTCCTGCCCGTGTTTGTAGATTAGACAGAAAGTAATTAGGGAGCTGTTATAATCATAAGAGTCTGACAGCCTTTGAACAAGGTACAGCCTGTTATAAGGGATTTGAATTGTATCTTTGTACTGCTGCTCTAAGTAAATTCACCGCACTTTGCTAAAACTAGTAGGACTTTTTACAAAAGGAATAGACAAATAACACTGAGTAGAAAGACAAACATTTCTGTCTAAATATCCTAATTTTACAGGAATCAAAATTGAACTTTATTTTCACCATTTCTTACCTATAAAAGGAAGATGTAAGGAATGGAAATGTAAGAAAGAGTGAATGGATGTAGAGGAATCAGTTAAAGCTACAGTGTGTAATAATTACAGGGATATACAGTCAGAAATGTAATATATTATACATAACTATGTTATTTTATCATCATCTACGAGCTCAGCCTCTTAACCTTAATATTTGCGTTGCCTTAGAATTCGTTATTTATAATTACATAACAGCGGGTCTCGCAGCCATGGAGGCAGACATCTTTGCGCTACGGCAGCGCAGAGCCAAGAAACTAGCGATTGTGAGATCGCCAAAACGTCACAACGATGTAGAAAAATTAACGGGTATATTTATTATCTTAAGTCTACATGAAATCTATACCCTACACAGACTAATGAAATACTATCTGTAAAATTATCTATGTAAACAAACCTCATCACTTGAGAAGGTAGGTGATGCGGACGTCATGGAAGACATTTTGTCCCGTAACGCTCGCCGTACTGTTGGGGGGGAGAAGCGGTGGGGGGGAGATGATCATGTTGCTGCAGTCTGACCGCTAGATGTCGCTAAAAGTTACACACTGTAGCTTTAAAGTATAAGCAGATGAATAATTGGAGAGGAAAAAGGGAGTTTTTCCTCTCCACTGTCGCTACAAGCATGCTTAGTGTGAGGGATTGTATTTGAGTCAATGAGTCAATGCAATCAACTGGTTTTCCTTAGATAGAAAACTTTGTATCAATTTGATTGTATGATCTGGTTGAACTGTAAAGTGCCTTGAGATGACGTGTTGTGAATTTGGCGCTATATAAATAAACTGAATTGAATTGAAATAATTGAGGTATAGACTGCTGAACCCTAGATACACAAAGGAACATCATCACAGATCCTTCCTTCAAGCAGATGTTTTACTTTAGAACTAAAATATTAAACATTTATTGCCAAAACAAACTCAATAGCTTTTTACATACATCTGCTGTTTTTATACAATGTCATTTTTCAAGCATTTTTTAAGCGTTTTAGACATCTGTGGCTCATCCTTTCAGCTAAGGATCCTTTTTAG